TGGATATTTTCCCAGAAGTGGGATTATTGGATCACATAGTAGTTCTATTTTTAATTGTTTAAGGAAACTTCATACTGTTTCCCATAGTGGCTGTTTCTGTGGGGTTTTGATCTGTATTTCTCTAAGGATTAGTGATGTCAAAGATTTTTTTCCCTGGGATTATTGGTCTTGGGCATACCTTCTTCTGTGAACAGTCTATTAAAGTCCTTTACCCATTTTTGAATTGGGTTGTTTTGTTTGTTCCTTGAAAAAGAAGAACAAAGCATCAGGGCTCACTTCTTGATTTCGAAGTTCACTACAGAGCCGTAGCGATGCACGAAGGCTGGCCCCGGCGAAAAGACAGACACCTAGGCCGGCAGAACGGAAGAGAGAGCTCGGAGAAAAGCTCTTGCATATAAAATCAAAGGATTTTTGACATTGCCAAGATCACTCAATGCGGAAAGGGTAGCCTTTCCAATAAATGGTGCCCAAAAGCTGCCAATCCCTAAGTTAAAAAATGAAGTTGGCCCCTTACCTGCCATCATATACAAAAAAATTACCTTCAAGTGGATTGAAGACCTAAAACTATAAAACTCTTAGAAGAAAACATAAGAGGAAAGAGGACATGGACTTTGAGGATGGTTTTTTAGCCATGACACTGAAGGCACAAGCAACAAAAGAAAAAATAGACAAACTGGATTTCATCAAAATGAAAAACTTTTGTGCATCGAAAGAGCCTGTCAACAGAGTGAAAAGGCAACCCATGGAATGAAAGAAAATATTTGCAAATCATATATCCAATAAAGGATTAATATCCAGAATCTTTAGGAGAAAGGACTCCTAAAACTCACAATCAGTTTTTAGAGAAAACCAAAGAGCGCTGAAAGGCAGCGTTTACCCCACTGACCCAGACGCTCGGCAGATCTGACCCAGCTACCACTGGTCTCAAGCGTGACTGTGTGAAGAGTCAGTGCCCAGCTCTTGATGATGAGTATTCACACGCAGCCATCCAGAATTTCTGCCGATAGACTATAGGGAGCTTAATTAAAGGGAAGAATTATTTTCCTCTTTTGCGGCTAAGCAGGAGAGCCATGGCTGGCAGCCGCAGGTCCCGGATGCTGCCTACGGGGCTCTAAATCCACTGTTACTGACTTTCATGCTCCCGGAGGCGCCAATTGCTGATTCATAGTTGTGCGCTCTATCTTCTCTCGTCCTGGGCTAGTGTCTTGGCCCCGGTGCTATCTGAGCTCGAAACTTCTCTAAGGACTAAAATATGCCTAGAAAGACCCAGATCCGAAATCATGTATGACAGAATACCATGATTCTTTACAAGACAATGGATTTTGGGGTCAAAATTTTTGAGAGCTTTTCCATCTTGCCTACGTGAGCCAATGATGGGTTACACGTTGCTGCCCTGAAGGACACAGCAATCGTCCAACAGCCCCTCCAGCCCCTTGTTGGATTCACTTATTTCTAGCAAATGGGAGGATTCCCAGGCGCTGGTGCCGGCCAGCGCTCAGGACCGGCCCAGCGAGTTGTGCAGGTCGGGCACGGCACACGGAAGCCACGTCTGCGAGGGTGCTGTTCGTGGCGCAGACACCTAGATCTGTGTGTGTGGCATGATGCTTCTTCGGGGAGATGCAGCGCAGCGTGTCATTGGAGCACGCGCCGTCGGTTACGCCAACCCCTGGGGGCGAACCTGAGCCATCCTGAGGAAGGGCCGTGGGCACGGCTCCTGGGAGGTTCCGTGACCCTGTGCTTTGCTCTGGGTCATACCTGGACCTCCCGGGCCTGCCTTCCTACACAGGAAGCCGCTCTACTCCATGGGCACCAGCAGGGACAGGGCTGTGGCTGGGCCACCCTCCTGCTCGATGGCCTTGTCGGTTAGCGCCCCTGCTGCCGGGTGTGACTCTCCTTATGAAGGACTGCTTGGGGCCCGGCAGCAGGAGGGGAAGTCAGGGGCCATGTCTGGGAAGAAGACTCGCCACCCAGACCCCACCGGCCAGGACGCCAGGCCCCGCAGCCCCCTGTGAGCGCCACCACTTGGCCGGCGGACCGAGTTGTCATCCCCTCTCCTGTGAGTGGTGTCCCCTAGAGAGAAGTGTTGGGACTCCGTGTGCAGGCCTTCGGTCGCTGGTTTCTCTGTGCTTTCTTCCTCTTCGCTTTTCATTTCAACCCTGAGCGTAAGTGGAGACAATGTGAAGCCCCCCGCACCGGTCACCCGTCCGCCATCCCGCTTTGCTTCGGTCACCAGTCCCGCCCTGCCTTAGGTGTGCCTGGCTTTTAGGCACGTGGAGGTGTCATTTGTAAACTGTGACTTTGGGTCCCTGCGCCTCGGTTTTCACTTATAACATTGGGATGGCACCTGGCGATGACCCCGTGCAGCCAGCCACCCATAAACGGCAGCGGGGCTTCCCGAACGTGGCCGGGAACCCTCGTTTCCCCGCCGGGGCCCCCCGCGCAGCGGCTGCCCCGGAAAGCCGCGTCCTTCGGAGGCGGCCGGAGCGGGGCAGGGCGGGGCCTCCTGGGGGCCTCGGGGGGCATCCTGCTCTGAGCATCTCTTCCCAGCAGTTACGGGAACTTATTAAAAAATGTTAACAAAAGTAAATATTTGCTGCTTTTCAAGGAAACCTCTGATAAGAAACACCTGAGGAATAGAAGAGGAGGAGACGGGGAATAAACAGTGATGCAGACAGAGCCGCAGGGCAGAGCTTCTGGAGGCTCAGTGAGAGATTCTGGTCCCGCAGGGCTGGCGGGAGCCTGGGGGTGGGGCGGGGGCCTGGCCTGGCTGCCCAGCCCCGCCCACCACACGCCCGAGTAGCAAGGACTCGGCGCCAACTGGTACCTGCATCCAGGCCCGTCCCTCTGCCTGCTTTTGTATGTCCTATGAGCCAAGAATGGGTTTCACATTTTTCAATGGTCAAAAAGTAGAAAGAATGTTTACAACACGTGAAAGGTATATGAAATTCAAACTTCGATGTCCGTCAAGTCGTATCAGCACACAGATGCGCCCGCTCTTTAACATTGTCTATGACCGCGGTCACAGGGCAGTTAAGAACTTGGGACAGAGACCCTACATGGCAAGGAGCCTCAAATGTTTTCTATTGACCTTTAGAGAAAGGGGGCGCCCACCCCACAGGCTCGAGGGGGCAGTAGCCAGCAGAGGCAGCAGAGAGCCATTTCCCGGCCAGCTGTGGGAGCCAGGCCCTCCCTGGCCCTCAGGTAGGGCGTTCAGGCAGCCGGCAGAGGGGGACTAAGCTGGCAGAAGCACCTGGGCAATCAGTAGGAGATGAAGTGGGGGCGAGTAAGCAAGGCCCAGGGTAGGCAGGGCAGTAAGAAGCCATCCTGTTGCTGGAGCAGGAAGGACAAGGCCTGCAGGGTGTGGGGAAGCAGGCCGGCGGGGGTGGGGGGGGGGTGTGGAGGCCCAGGAATGCGGTGCCGGGCTCAGGCCCCGGCGGAAGGAGTAGGGGGGCCACTGCAGGGCTTCGGGCGGTAGAGCCGTGGCATCGCCCGGGGTCGGGGGCTGACGGACTGTATGCACCTCTGGTGGCTGTGCCTCCGGGATGCTGTTGTAGCAAACGGTGATGAGGAGGAGGAGGAAGGCAGAGCAGCCACGGCACCGCACTGCGGCTGGGCCACGGCAGGCTCGGGCCGCTGCGCCGTGGGTTCTGCATCTCACCGGGACAGGCTGGGCAAACAGTGTCGCCACGTTCTCCTTCTCCTTCCCGCCCTTCCCTCCACTGTCACACCACGGCGATGCAGCGGGCTGGCTGGCCGCCATTCCGGCCAGGCCTGGGCCGTTTCTCCGCGGTGGTTCCTGCAGAGGCGGGCTTTGCCCTGACAGACTGGTTTGCTAGTTTTGTTCTGGCTCGGGGGCCATGTGTTCCGGGGGCAGAGGGTGCGCAGCCTCCTTTTAGAATCTGGTGGACGCCACCACGCCCCCCAGAAAAATGTGCACGGGCAGGTGGGCTCGGAATCTGAGATGATGGCCGCGCCTGGGCCATTCCTGGGCCCCGCCCAGTTGAGGACCCTGACCTGGGGCTGCACAGGTCAGGGGCCAGCTGCCTCCCGGCTTAGTGTCAGATGCTGTGTGTCCCCCCGGGCCTCCTGCCCGTCCTCATTCTCTACTATCCCTAACCCCGCTCCTGTCTTATGGCGAGGACTCGAATATGTGCCTTTCTTTGGAATGGATTAGCCCTCCCCCGCCCCCCCACCCCGTCCCCCAGTGTGCGAGACAGGAGCTAGACGGCTTCCTAGGATGGCTGGCGGGGGGCTCTGGCTGCATGTCGGGCAGCGCGGGCCCTCAGGGTGCCTGAGCAGGGGACCGTGCCATCTGGCCTCTGGCCTGGGCGGGCTGACCTCCTGCTATGCCCTGGGCCAGGAAACGCTGTGGTCACTGAACTTTGAACACACGAAGTTTTATCTTGGGGTCTTAATACAGCATAAATCTCCTTTCCTTGAAACAAAAAGAGCACTATATTAGATGCCGTCTTGTTTAGGAAATTATTAGCCTCTATAGCTAGAAATAAGTAGATTACATTTTTTAAAAAGATTAATTTAATCTCCAGAACAAGGAACATTTAAAGGAATATAGTCATTCGATTATAAAATATTTCCAAAGACCAAAGAGAAGCTTGGACGCCTGAACTATTTTTCAAATTCTCCAGATTTAGAAAATCTACTCCAACAGCAACTTTTAATAAAAGCAGTCAATCCTAGCAGTTAGGGCCTCTTACTGTGTGGGGGCGGGGGTGGGGGGTGTGTAACAGCGGCTTTAGTGGAATGTACTTCATGGAGCATCACATTCATCCCTTTAACTGTACGATGATTTTTTAGTAATTTTACAGCTCTGCACCCATCGCCACCATCTAATTTTATGGCCTTGCTGTCACCCCAGCCTGTTACATTTTAATGCAAGAGGTGACACTAGAAAAATGACCATTTTAATGTATTGCTTCTGGTATATGCAGCATCTAAGTGATAGTCTTGCTAATAATGACCTTTCCCGGTATCTCTTCCAGGTAGACACGAGACAGCTGGAGCAAAGCTCTTGCAGTCTTATCAGAAACTGAGGTGAGTCTTGTAGAAAGACAGGCCACTCCAGGCCCTTCAGCCTGGAGCACCAAGGACCCGCCAAAGACGCGACTGATCTCTTGACCTTTAGAGGTCGCTGCTTTGGAATGTAACTCTTTTTTTTTTAATGATAAAGTAACTGGAAAAAATTGAGACAGATATTTCCAGGTTCTTATGACAAGCCTTCTAGAAACTAGCCTAGTATTTTCTCACAGAACGTTTTGTTTCTTAAATTCCCCTAAAGTGTCATAAGAAAACAAAATATTATTTTTGATGGCACGTTAAGTGAAACTCTAAACCAAGCCTTTGCTTTTATGAGTCCTTCATCTCTCCAACATCTTGCCAGGCCTGACACGTGTGAGACGTTTATGGAATAAACATGGGTGGACCCGAACGCTGGCAACTTTATTACCCAAACTTCCGAACATCTGAGGCCTTGGGCTGACTATGCGCACACGCTCGGTCCCCTGAATTTACTAAGGGTTCCTGGAAGTTCCTCTCCCAACAGTTAATTTTTTGGCCACGATGAGATTTTCCAGTCTCAGGACTTTTTCATTTTTTTACTCTCCAACCTTTTCCTGACTTTTTTTCGCACAAGCTCCTATTGGGTTGGCCAAAAAGTCTGTTTAGTTTCTTTCCGTAAAATAAAAGATGCATTTTTCATTTTCATCAATAACTTGATTGATTTGGATACTTTGAGTATGCAGGCTATCTCCCGTTGTTGGCTTCTAGTGGGTAGGGGGCAGGGGTGCTGCTAAACACCTTCCAAGCAAAGACTTATTTGGCCAAAATGTCAATAGTATCAAGAAAGTTCAGAAACCACTTTTGATATATTCGATCAGTCACAGCATCTTCTCCATAGAGTGCACAAATCTTTTTTCTGCATTTCAACCTTCTTGAAATAATAAAGCAAAACATGCTGAAAAGGTATGTTTTCTTCCATTTTCAATATTAACATGGATGAACAAAAATTCACCAGTTTTGATAAGTTTTTTTTTAAAATGCATGCTGATATGATAGCTGTCACAATATAATCCAACAATATTGTTTCAAATGAAGTTAAAGACAACTAAGTACTACTAGAGCCATCATACAGGAAAAACCAAACCAAACTTTTTAGCCAACCCAGTAGTTCCTCTCACAGTCGATTTTTACATCCACGACGTTTCTGGCTCCCCTGCCCGTGTGGTTTCCGCTGAGAAGACAAGCAAGTCCCCATGGACCGCCATGCGTGGCGTCTGGATCCCAGAGCAGCCAGGCCGCCAGCCGGGCCCTGAACTCGCCAGCTGCTGCCGAATGCACGGCGGGCGCGGGCGCCAGACGCTGACCTGCATCTGTTCACGTCCACATTAGATCCCAGGACTTCATGCCCTTTGCAGAGCCGCAGGTCCCTATGGGGGTCTGCTTAAAAGTGAGGAAGTAAAAAACAAACACCAAAGGTAGAAAATTTGACTTAGAGGATGAGCTGTATCGTGTGTGTTTGTAAGACATTCTTCCATCGTCTGTAACCCGTTTCTCCCCCCTGTATTTTTCCTTGGCAGCAAAATTTCCGTGGTCCCTCCCACCCCACCTCCGCTCAGTGAAAGCTGGTGCAGCAGCCCTGGCAGGGTAATGTGGCCGCTCTCGGGGTGTCCCCAGGAGGGAAGAGGGGATGGAGGTTGGGTGGGGGGCCTCGGGGCAGAGGGCCACCTGGGGCTGGAGCAGCCGTGAGCGAGGCAGGGGATGAAGGGCCGATGCGGGGGTTGGAAAGTGCTCGGCCCTGCCCGGTGTCTGTGCCGCCACCGGCTTTGGGGACCCTGGGACTACACTAACAGCTGACTCGTCTTCCGCCTGCACCCCACGCCCTCGCCGTGCTCCCGCCCCCGTCTCATTCCTTCTGACTTCTCGCGGCCTGTCTTCCCTGTCTGTGCACCATGCCCACGAGTGTGGGGTCTTCCGGGGTGCAGTGGGTCTGCGGGTCTCTGGGGGTGGAGGGGAGAACGTTGACTCACAGGTCTGGAAACGTGCGTGTGTGTGTGTTCTGATCGTCTGCAGACACTGAGGCAGGCTGGGACTGTTTCTGTCCAAGGAAGCTAGCCGTGTGATTGGGGGACGTGCCCTGGGGTCCCAGCTGGGAGGTGGAAGTGGTCACACTCTTCTGGCTTCCCCTCCATGACTGGCATGAGGAGTCAGCGGAAGATGCCTCCGCTGGTGCTTGCAAACTCAAGTGCCGTGGAGGCGTAGGGTCCTGAGCACGTTCGTTGCTGTTAGTTCTGTGAATGCAAGGGAGTCACCATCTGTACAGAAGGACGCGTGCATCTGCTGGTGAGAGAAAACATACCTTCAAAATCCTGCTCTGCTTGCTCCTTGAGATTCTAAATTTTCCAAAGCAATGTGAGCACCAGTGTGTTCAGGACATATGGTTGGATGGATGGATGGATGGATGGATGGATGGATGGATGGATATACTGACAGATGAACAGAAGGAAGGACAAATGGGTGGATGGGCGAATTCATGAATGGACGAATGGAAGGACAAATGAATGGATGGATGGATGGGTGGGTGGATGGATGGATGGGTGGATAATGGGTGGATGGATGGATGGATGGGTGGGTGGATAATGGGTGGATGGATGGACGGACAAATGAATGAATGGGTGAATGGATGGATGAGTAGGCAGACGGACAGATGGATGGACAGATGGACGGATGGATGAGACTTGCAGAGGAAAGTGATCTTTCTGTTGATTTCTCTCTTTTTTATTCTCTCCCCACTTTTGGAGGCAGAACTAACCCTTGGCTTCAGGCTGGTCACCTTGTGCCGGCACCGCTGCGAACCCTGTGTCATAGGCGTTCTGCGTGGCTTTGGGGTGAGGGTAAAGATGCAAGTTGCTTGGGGACAATCTTTAAGACAATGAAATCGTCAGTCATTCTTTCTCAGAGGTCGTGACTTCCTTGTTGACAGCCCCTCGATAAAGCTCCTTCCTTCACTACGGTGTCAGCTCTCAGAGGAGAAAAGCTGAGTCCAGAGGACACCAGCCCCTTGAGAGGACAGCGCCCCCCAACCCCACACATGCACGCATGCACCCCGCACGCGCCCCGAGCGCCCCTGCTGAGACGCGCCCATGCCCTGCACACGTCGGTGGTGCCAGGGGTGGGCCGCCTGGAGGCTGCTGGGAGGAACTCGGGGCGTCCAGCATGGCCCTCCTTCTCTCTCCCTCTGTCTCTGCTTTAATTACAGGAACTCAGGCAGCCTAAAGGATTTAATAAGTCCGTGGAAAACTTGTTCCTGTCTGTTACCACCCACATGAAAAGTAAGTGGATGCTTCTTCCTAGCACCACCTGGGCCGGCCAGGCCCATGGCCAAGGCTGCGACTGGACCCCTCTCTCCGTCCCCAGCACGTGGGGAAAGCCACAACCCCGGCCCCTCACCTTCCACCCGCAGAGCAGGCCCCCAGGGCGCTGGGGAAGAGGACACCCCTTCAGTTTGCTAGGCTGGCTCTGTCCTCCCCCAGCCCCTGCTCCGGCCCATGCCTGCCTCGGGCACGGAGCTCACGGCCGGCGCCGGCCCCTACCGGGGCTTCTCCCCGGGAACCCTGCAAAACCGGAGCCTCTCAGGCCAGGCGGGGCCTGCCACGGTCCTGCCTCTGAAATTACTCATAGGGCCTCCTGTTCTCCTTCGTGAATTTATTTTTTTCAATGAGCAGTAACCACGCTCATTGCAAGGAACCCAGAACCCATTGCTTGGAAATCTCGTTCCTTCAATGTTCTTTCTGCTCGGATATTTCTTCCTGTTTATCTTAAAACTCAAGTCCAAGCACAGGCCCCATCTGGGCCTCCCGAGGTGAGCGGAGCAGCCCAGGCCCTGGAGAAGCTTCTCCGCGGGAGCGGGGTCCTGGGCTCCGCGCTCCCTCGCTGCCTCTGTGTGGCTTCCGTCCCTCGACCTCGGCCGACCCTTCCCTGCAGCGGCCCGTGGGTGTCCCCGTGCGGTTCCTAGCCTGAGGCAGCTGTACAATTTGATTGTAATTAGTCCTCCTTGTTTCCCAGGAGCCTTTCTGAGCTGCTTCACAAAGCCAATCAACGTAAAAGCCACCTTTCAGATAAGCAGAGGTGACTGTGTCCTGTGACAGTGTCTCTCTCTGCTCAGCAATGGGGAGCCGCCTAATATCACAGCCCATTGGCTAACAGAGCTCAGAGGTTCAAAACCACCCCATCACTTGGCTGGGCCCTGGGACACAGCTTCCGAGGCCACTTCTCCGTGGCTCCTTCTAGACGTGCAGCCTCTCCCCACACAGCGCCCCGTCCAGGGAGGCCTCAGAGGACTGGAGGGCTCCTGGGCCGCGCTGTCCGGTGCGGTGGCCCCACCGCAGGTGGCTCGTGAAAGTGGCCGGTCCGCGCCAAGAGTAAAACACACACGAAGTTCTGGTCACTTAGTATTAAAAACTAAGTTTAAAATGTCATCAATAAGTTTAAGATCAATTATATGTATTTTAGCAATATATGGATACATGTCACTAAATGAAATATTCTATTAAAGTTCCTTCTTTACCTTTTCCTTCTTTAAATGCTGCCCCTAGAACATCTGAAGTGATGGGAGCCGCATCGTCATGGGCAGCACGGCTCCAAAGATAGTTCAAGGTCGTCGTTCGAGGGCGACAAGGGCCTCGTGGGCAAAGGCCGGCAGAGCGGGGGCGGGGCCAGCCTTTGGGCCTTTGCAGCGGCTCTGTCCCTGCTGCGTGTTCATTGCAGTGCGGACCGCTGCCTAGGGCAAAACCAACACACCTTAAAGTCGTCTTTGCAGGTGTTGCTTACTGAAAGAGTTACAAGGAGACCTCTCTTCAAAAAGTCAAATTGTAGTGAGTTGTGAAATCTTTGTAAGGAACCCCTAAAACGCCGGCTGGTTGGTTAGGCTGCCTTCTCGGTGTTAGGACAACCATACATGTGACGTGTGGCCCGGACGCGAGGCAGGCCGGCCCGGCAGGTCTTCCTGCACCTCCTGCCCTGTCGGTGGCCCTCAGCCCACAGTCACCTTCCAGAAATCCAGCTGCCCTGCCCCGCACAGAACTCAGCGGTCCCCGAGCCCAGCACGCAGCGTCTGGGGGCTCCGGGATTTGTCCGCGCTCCGCCAGGGCCCGGAGCTTGGTGGTGGGCACACGCGCCCCTCGCCCCTCCGTTAACTTGCCCTCCTGAGCCCCTCCCTGTGTCGTTGAGGGGCCCCCCGGGGAGGCCCCCAGGTCTCGGCAAAGCTGTGTGTGCCCAGCCGCCGCCCTTTGCGTCTGTCTTCCAGAGCTCTCCAAGTCCCAGAACGACATGACCTCCGACAAGCAGCTCCTGAGCACAGGCCCCGAGCCGGCGGCGGGCTGGACAGAGAGAAGGAGCCAGACGGAGAGAAGGAGCCAGTCGGACACGGCCATCAACGTCACCGCCCGGGTACTCCCCAAGGCCACCAGGCCGCCACACAATCGCTCTCCCGCCCCTTTTCTCTAGGGACTCCTCTTCCTTTTCCTTTTCTAACAAAACATTAAGCAATCTGAAAAACACAATTGTAAACCCCTCTCTGTGCAGAGGCCAAGTGAAGGCGAAAATCCAAGGTTCAGCACAGGCAAAGGCTCCAGCCCTAATTCCGAGCCCCCGGAACGAGCCTCAGGGCCGCAGCGGGACCGACATTGCCCGACTGTGGGGGGCTGCAGATGCCCTCGCCGAGAGCACGTCTGAGTCCCCGTCCCGCCTCCAGCGTCCTCTGCGTACACCCGTCCTGGTCCCCGTCCGCTCGAAAGCCCAGTTTGGTGTCATCAGACGCAGCCACGAGGGTGACTCTCTCCCAGTCTCCAGACCACAACACAGGAGTCACCGAGGAGGTGCTCGTAGGGAAAGAGTTGCTCTGGCTTTCCACTGGGCTCTCCAAGCCCGAGACGCCTTCGATCAGGAGCTCTGGGGGCCAGTGCAGCGGAGGTGCCCTGGCTGTGGCAGGTGCCACTGCTGGTTGGTTACAGGGTTGGCGTGGCTGCGCTGGTTAGCTGGGCGGGCCCCCCTTTCCTGTGACGCCATCCGAGAGGTCCCCCCGACAGACTGTGCTTTAGGCAAAGGGAGGGGGTTAGCCTCACGCTCCCGCAGGGACTTGAACACACGCTCCAGATTTCAGAACCTGCCCGCACGGCTGCCCTCCCCCCAGGCAGGGCCCCGGACTCCCGGGCCTCAGCACCCCGTGAAAAGCCCCCGTCCTCACAAGGCACAGGCTTCTTGTAAGGGTCCCCTGAGGTAATGTAGCATCTGAATTGCCATCAAAGTGATCCAAATATAGGATCTAAATTGCCAGCGTTTCTTCTTATGCACCAGGCTCTGAACTAAAAGATTTACCTGGACTATCTCATTTTATCCTCACGCTACGCCGATAAGGTCGGTATTTGGCTCTGTTTTCACTTCTGTTACATTTAGAGAAACTGAGGCTTGGAGAGATTATGTCACATGACCCTGGTTACAGAACCAGAAAGTGGTGGGCGGCTTTGGCTTGGAGGCTGACTCCGGAGCAGCAATCTTCGGCTTCCGGGCGCTCCGAGTCACCGGGAGACTCGGCAGCGGGTTGTGATTCAGTTGCCCCAGGGCTGGCGTGAGACGCAGAAGCCCAGAGGCCTTGCTAAGCAGCTCGGGCACTGCTGGCCTTGGACCTCACCGTAGGCGCAGGTTCTAGAGCGTGGAAATGCATGTGGAAGGCCTTGGCAACCCCAAAGTGCAAACAAGCGCGCTCCTGTCGGCTTCTCCGGGTGCAGGTGAGCCCCGCCCCGGCGGCCGTCCCTGCCTCAGCAGACAGGAGAGGCGACCATGCGCCCCGGGAGCATTGTGTTCCAGGGACAACAGTGGCGTTCATTCTATGCTTACCACACGTCAGTCTTGCAAAAATCCCGAGAAAGATAGCATTCCTTCCGTGATAAACATCTAGAACCTGAGTGTTAGTGAGAGGTGAACCAACTTGTCTAACGTCACACAGCTCATAAGGGCAGAGCCAGGAGCAGAACCAGGCTTGTATGATTCCAGATTCCAACCTGTTCACGTCTTCATTATGTGCCATGCACAAGGAGGACAAGCAAGGCGCTACTGGGGAGAAGGGGTCAGAAAGGTGGTTCTGGAAGCACAAATAATTCTCTCCCTCGTCCGGGCAGGCCGAAGCCTCTGAGGCTAACATGAGGGGTCAAGGGCATGCTAGGCCCTGTTCCCGTGTTTAACTTTTAATCCTTAAAACAGCCCTGCGAGGTCTGTGCTACTACTGTCCCGTTAAAGATGAGGACCCCGGGGCAGGGAAGCGGCCGAGGGTGTACGTAGCAGGAGGCGGCAGGGCCAGGTAGAGCCCGCTACGGGCGCCACGCGTGTAGCATCTGCCAGGAGAGACACCAGCAAAGTGTGCGCACCTGCCTCTTCCCCAGCACTGACGTCATTGCCATGTGATGGGACGTTCCCGGCGTCCACACGCTTCGCTTTTGGCTTTTGGAAGCGAACACTACCCGGCGGCCGCGGCGCTCCCCTTCCCTGCTGCGTGCGCACCTGGCACAAGCCTGCCGGGCGATCGCAAGGTTGTCTGATGGGACGGGGAGTCCCAGGGCAGAAGGGACAAGGAGAGGCCCCGGCTGCGGAGGCCCCACGGGGCAGACACTTTGTCCTGCGAGCATCCACGTCACTGCCATGCCCTTAGCTGGACGCGCCTACAACTTCTTGCGGGCGTTCTCTGTCCCCGCCTTACTTGAGGATGTGACTGTGTTAAGGAGCAACTTAGCCAGTGTTTAGGGAGGACGTGGAGGTCATGGCATGGTCTATGCATGCTAAGTGATTCCTGGGTTGGAACATAAAGAGCACACCATTAGGAAGGACACTTGTCAGACTGCGGTGACACGTGCCTTGGCTGCCGAGCTCACGGAAGCGGCGCTTGCGTTCCGTCGGGGCACTGCGGTGCTTCTGTCCCCACCGAGCACGCAGCGCCCTGCCCTTTAGACGTGGGGCATGTTGGCACCTGTCTGCAGGTGTTGGCAGCGAGGCGCAGAAATAGTAGATCATTTTCTTAAAGCCACGTGGTGACTCCGGGATGTTAATGAGAGAACGGCTCAGGACCTCTTCTGTGTCACTTAAATTTGAGCCACATGTTCTGGAAATGTTCACTCCAGCAGCTGGGCCAGGATTCTTCAAGAAACGAAGCCTTCTTACCTCTCCTTTCGAGTTTCATGTGCATTCCAGGGTGATTCTGCTGTACCTCCCATTAATCTGTGGTTGATCTATATTGGCCATAAAAACACACACTTATTAAATAGGAAGGAACAAAAATAAAATCTGTTAGGAGGGGCTATGTCTGAGGAGAGGGACTGAGGGCAGAGGTGGGGTGGACTTCATTTCACTCTATGCACCTTGCGTCTCGGGATGTGTTCTCACGGACCCCTGAAATCTTAAGGAACAGCACTCCGCGGGCCCCCACCCCCAGGATTCCCTGCACATCGCCCCCTGCTGGCCATGCCTCGAAGGCTGAGCAGCGGGGGACAGGGAGCCAGCAGGGTTTCAGCCACTAAGGCGCTTGATCCTCAGGTTGCAGGACCGCCGAGCTTTTTGATGGCACCAGGAGCGGGGCCGGCTTTTCAGCTGGCGTTTAACTTGGCTCAGAACCTGTATTATTGGCCAAGCCCAGCTGGGTATTTTTCTGATACCCAAGTGGGTGTTTATCTTAAGTCCTGCACGCAGGACGCAGGGCGGCGGGTTTGGAGGTGGAGCGGCCTGACAGATGTCGGCGGGACCGAGTCGGTGCTCTGAGGAGGGAGGGCAAAAGCAGTGATTTGGAGGCAGTCTTTTTTTTTTTTTTTTCATTTGTTCTCTAAACTTCTCACTTAGTTTTTTATTCCTAAAAATTATGACCATGGTGTGACTTGTATTTTCAAATTCTATTTCTAAGCCAGCACACACACACACACACACAAAAGAAAAGAAAAGAAAGCCTTGATTCAGAAGCTGTCTTCACCTGGAAGCAGCCTTCCGGCCCTTGCCCGCCGCGATTGCTGTCTACCCCGGCACTAACACAGCTTGCTGGCCGTGGCACCTGTGCCCCCTGAGCCCTCGACACGTGGCCAGTATGATCAGGGAGCGCCATTTATTCATTTTATTGGGTATCAATTAATTGGGACTTGCATTTAAATAGCCACATGAGGCTAGTGGCTACCTCATTGGAGAGCACAGCTGTACACATTACAGAAGTGCCCACTTCTTATAAAAAGTATTTTTATGAGATGTAGAGATATATTTTGATTTTTCCCCCCTTTCTCTCTCAGTTAAAACTCTGTCTATTCGGTGAATATGATATTTCATGTGATTGAATGCCAGGATCATTATTAAGCCCAAAATGTGGACTTCAGTTTCTTTAAGGCTTTTACTAATCCCTAAGTAACCCACCCATTCCTGTCCGTGACCACCCCAAAGCTTGGGGACGTCTGCCCGAGGCCCCACGGGGGGCCAGCGTGTGCATTTCCCGGCTGAAAGTGCGCCCCTTACCCCGCCCCTGCCCCCCTGCCCCCCGCGTGGGCCTCCGGCGGAGGATGCAGCTGCTGGTCCAAGCACTTGCTGAAGCCACCCTGTTTGAACAAAGGCAAACTGGGATGCAGACTATATGTTTCATTTTGCATTTTCTTTTCCAGAAGGTGAGCGCACCAGATATCCTCATCTCTCTCAATCCAGAGAGTCCCAAACACCCTACCGACCCCGTTTTGAAGCAAGGTCTCTTATCCCATCCGACGCCCAGCCCTTCCTTCTCAGGAGGCTCGAGGCAGGTGAGTCTCCGTTTGTTGCCCTTGACATGGGAGGCGTGGCTGTCACGATGATATCGAATTGGATGGTGGGCAAGGGCAGGAGTGAGGGTCGTCTTGTGTGGGGTGACGTGGGGCATGACCCAGAGCCTGAAAAGATGTTTTCCTTAGGCTGGGAGCTGCGGAGACCTCGCTCTTCTTTTTTTACATATTGTGAACACCTTTATGAATACAGAGCATTATTAATAATATATAATGGTGTCTTTGGATGAGTTTTTCATTTTGATGAAGTTTAATTAATCAACTTTTTCTTTTGTGGTTATTTCTCTTTCTTGGCTACTCGCACATCGTGAAGGTACACTCCTGTGTTTTCTTCCAGAAGCGTCATAAAACTTTAGCTTTTGTATGTGGGTTTTGATGCAACTCCTTAGTTTTTGTGAGTGGTGTAAGGTAGAGATTGAGGTTCACTTTTTTCCCCTGTGGATACCCAGTTATTCTAGCACAATTTAAAAACAAACAACCCACCCCTCTTATTTTTCCATTGATTGTAGTGGCTTTGTTGGGAAAAGTGTGGAACTTTCTCTGGGTTCTCTATTCTGCTCCACTACCTCTTTGCCCTTGAATATCGATGCCACACTGTCTGTTGGAAGTTTTGAGATCAGGTAGTTTGATCCCAACTTTGGTCTTCTTTCTCAAGATTGCTTTGTGATGTGTTAAGTGTAGGGTCTGTTTGTAGGCAGGCCTTTTATTTATTCATTTTCTTATTTAAAAGCATTAAACCAATGCTTACTTTATGCCTAAAATTGTGGTATAATTGTCTGATAGATCCTCGGGCGAAGGGTCACACGGCCTCGGTGATGGCCACAGCTCTCTAAGGGACACTCCGTGACCACGAAAACTCTCTAGCCCTCAGAGTCCTCAAGACAGTAGTCCCAGACGTGTTCTTTTTATTTCACGGGGTTGCTTTGAGCATGAAACGAATGCAGGAAATGCGTGGCATAACCCTGAGGTGAAGAGCTCAGCTTCTGGAAGCCAGCTTCTTGGTTCACACTCCCGCTCCTTCAACGGCAAGGAGCGGGGACCCAGAGTAAGTCCTTGACCCTCTCTGTGCCGCAGGGGTTGTGTTTTTTACGGGAAACGGTGTTCGCTTCAGAAAGGGACCCTTTCTCCCCATCTTCTTGAATGCCCAGTGGCGCTCTCGGACACCCTGGCGGGGCGGGCCACCCTGAGCAGCGAGGACAGCCGGCATCCGCGGCTCCCTCCACTGCCCGCGAGCGGCTCCCGTCCCTCACCTTCGCCCGTGATCCTGACCCATCAGAGCCACTGTGAGGCCCTCGCGGCTCCAAATGAGGGGCCCTGCAGCTCCACAGTCACCTGGGAGCTTGTCAGAAAGCCGGCTTTCCGGGCCCACCCTGCCCTCCTGGGTCAGGATCTGCAGCTCAGCAGGAGCGCGGTGAGGTCTGAGAACGCTGGCCGCACGCCGGCAGTTTCCCACTGGGAAGCGTGTGCCATCGTTAAGGGTCTTCAACAGCCCAGGGCTGGGCTGTCCGGTCTGGTAGCTGTTAGTCTCAGGCGGCTGTTGAGCACTTGAAATATGACTGGTCCAAACCGAGATATAAAAACATGTAAAATGTCTCACTAACTCTTAGATTGAGTTTTGTCGAAATGAGAGTATTTTGGATGTATTTCATTAATAAAATGTAATATTAAAATGATCTTCTACTTCTAAAAATGCGACCCCTTGCCCTGGCTGGTGTGTGGATTGAGCACTAGACTGTGAACCAGAGGGTCGCCGGTTTGATTCCCAGTCAGGGCGCAAGCCTGGGTTACGGGCCAGGCCCCTGGAAGGGGCGCTCGGGAGGCAGCTACACATTGATGTTTCTCTCCCTCTCCTATTCCTTCCCTTCCCATCTCTAAAAATAAGTAAACGAAATCTTAAAATAAAAAAAACTTAAGAACTTTAAAAATGGGACCCCTAGAGAATTTAAATGGCCTACGGGCCCCATTGCGTCTCTGTCGGACAGCCTGGTCTGGGCAGCGGGCGTGCTGGAATCGCCCCAGGACGGGGATCCCTCCCCCAAACCGGCCAGTGCCCCTGTGCGCCCCCTGGTTGCATCCAGTTCTCAAACAGGGTGGTGCGTCCACGTGGGTCAAGGGCCAGGGCGCTCTCAAACACAAATGCGGTTCACAAACAAGTCCTCTAGCGGGCCCCTCCCGGCTCCCGCTGAGCGCAGCCACCTGCCCTGGGACATGCAGTGGGACGAGCTGCCGCTGCGGAGCCTGGCGCTCGGCTCCTCGGGTGCCCTGAGGTTGCGAGTCTGGGACCGTCCCAGCCCAGGTTGTTTCCGAGACCTCACGCTGGCAGGTGGCGTGGCACCTTCCTTCGGGCCTCGGTGTTGTTCATGCTTGGGAGTAATTCAGAAAGATCAAAGCACTGAGGGCCAGGTAGGCAAGGGCCGCCCTGGAACACTCTCCCCTGGGGCTGAGGCCTGTGGTGGGTGTGAGACGTAGGGGCAACCCCAGGAGCTCCTGGAAGACTCACGAGGGTCGTTTTGTTCCCGAACAAATGGACCGGGGGGGGGGGGGGGAGGTGCCCAGATGCTATTACCGAAACAACACCCCCTTCCTCGAGGTCCCTCGGTTATGGGTCCTTTGCCCGCCACCTTTGGAATTACGGCTCTGAATGGCAGAGTTTGGTGAAAAGGAAAGGAACTATTTATTCAAAAGTTACACGGGTTTGATTAATGGCTAAATGTCGCCCTTAAACCTCAAAATCCCTTTAAAACAATCACCAGCGCGCACACACCGTCCTGCCTTCCCCCCTTTGCCCAGTCAGGCCAGTCAGGGCACCGTCCTTCAGAAGAAAGAAAAGAACAGAAGTCCGGGGCTCGGCTGCGCAGGCCTCTCGCGGGCCTCAGCACCGTCCGCTGCGTCGCCACGATCTCCAGCTCTTAATCCTTAACTATGGGGCACCTTCTCATGGCCTACGAACAGGAGTCCTTTCTCCCCTCTTCCTTCCCACGTGGTCTTCACATTGTTCCCCCAGAGACCGTGTCCCTTGTTCTCTTCTGCCTGCCCCTGTCTCTCCTCCTCCTCTCCAGTTACATTCTGCATTAAGTCTTTTAAACTTTCCCGATTAGCTTTGATGATATACAAAATAACCCTCTTTGCATATGAGGAATGAAGCTCTCCTGTTATTGACATGCAAACTGACTTCTCAATGGCCCTGCTCAAGGCTCCCATCCCCCATGGCGACCCGCCCTGGGGTGGGGAGAATGTTTTTCTTGGACACCCCAATCTCTGGGCCCCGTTACAAATACCCTTTGGGGGGCCCTGGCTGTGCCCCGTTACAGTTTGCCTCTGTCCCAGGTGGCGGAGGACCCCACGGACCACAGAGGCTAACGCTGTCCCTGAACTGCTCAGAGCCCCATTAGACTGCACTCTCAGCTCCGCCCCGGGGCAGAGTCCCGTCTTTGTGTGCCGGAAGCCAGCGCACAGGCAGAGGCTGCCCACAGAGGGTCCGCGGGCTGGCGGGAGCAGACCCCGCCTGGCGGGCCCCCTGGCCCTCTGTGCCCCTCGCCCAGCCACACTGGCCTCGCGCTGGCCTTGACCATGTCAGACGCACAGCTGCTTTGGGGCGCGTCTGTGGCTGTTGCCTCTCCCAGGCCCCAAGGTCATTCGCTCCCTTCCTTCGAGCCTTCGCTCCAAGGTCACCTCCTCAGGGAGGTCAGCCCCCTGCTCCCCTATTGCCCGCACCTGCTCCGTGTTGAATCCTCTTCTTACACCTCGGCCGCGCAGCCGGCTCATCTGCAGTTCACTGTCTGCGGTGATTCCCCAGTGCCCAGAGCAGCGCCTGCTCCTTCAGTGGCACTCGTTAAACGTTTGGGGAAGGTTGGCTTCATTCTTGGCATGGCTGTGATCGATTGAAAGCCTACTATGTGCTAGCACCATTTCACAGAAGGGAAAACAGGTTCGCAGAGGGAGTCAAAGCCCAGGCTTTTTGTACGATCCCGGACTGGTTGACGTCTTAAACCGAGTGGTTTTCCTGACCCCACCTCCTGGTCCAGCTTCAGTCCTCTGGGGCCGGTGCACACGTAGAAAACCTTGGCAAGTCGGCGGAAAGATGCTGGGGTGAGGGGATGCAGGTGGGTGTATCCATCTCACTTACAGTCTGTTTCTTGGGACAGGTTCTCTATCCCCCCTTCTCTCTTTCTTCTGAAGTCGCCTCTGAGCGCCCCCAGCGTTCATCACGAGACTGAATATTTACGTGTTTAATCCTAGCCTGTTCCCTTTAGACTGAGCCAGAGTTTGAGGAAACGAAACCCCCTCCCCCAACGCAAATAAACGATTATCGCTTCCGCCCAAAGATGCAGCCTTCCCCTGAGAGACATTTCCCTTCTCTAAGGAACAGGAAATCGGGGGCTAGAAAAAGCTCATTAAAGCTCTAATTAGTATCAAAGTAGAAATACAAATCGGCATAAATGGGGGAACGTTCCGACGTCTCAAATAGTTAAATCAGTGCAAAATTAAAGCAGGCACTATTTTGGGATCACTTTGGCAAATTTTTAAAATGACACAGCTCAGCCCTGGCCGGGGAGGTCGGTTGGTTGGAGCATTGTTCTGTACACCGAAAGGTTGCAGGTTCGATCCTAGTTGGGGCACATGCGGGAGGCAACCGATCTATGCGCACACCCCTTTCCTCTTTCTCTCTAAAACCAATAAAACATATCCTCGGATGATGATTTAAAAACTTTTTAAAAAACAAATAAGATCGCGTGACCTTTGTTGCTGGGCAAAGACCAGGTCTGGGCAAGACAAGACCTAGTGAGGGTTCCCCATCTTGTTAGAACGGAATATGTGGCAACTTTTTGGCAAAGAACAAGCCAGTGCATTACTAACTCCCTGTGAGTCAGGGTGCATGCTCCGTGCGCATTTTGATTTATCTGATATCTTGACATCAGAACTGCAAAAGAATGAACTGTGAAGTAATTTATTATCCCTGTTATTTTTATTTCAGGGAAGTTTAATTAGCATTAATAGCACTTGTACAGAGATGGGCAATTTTGACAACGCTAATGTCACTGGAGAAATAGAACTGGCCCTTCGGTATTGCTTCAAAACCCATTCTTTAGAAGTCTGCATTGAGTCCTGTAAGAACCTTGCGTATGGAGAGGAAAAGAAGAAAAAGTGCAATCCGTAAGTTTCTTTTTCTATGTTTTGACTTAAGCTAGTAGACATATGGATTCTAAAGTTTACATGCAAAGTCCAAGAATAACCAAGACGATTGTAAAAGTAAAAAAAGACATAAAATAAACAGACTTACCTTAAGAATTATGACAAAGCCGCAGTAATTCCAACAATGTGATACTGATGCAAAGCTAGACGAAGAGGCTATTAGAGCAGAATCGAAAGTCCAGATACAGACCTTAGCGTGCGGGGTGGGGGGACTTCCATAATCCAGAAGAGGCTCCTAGAAATCATTGCAGAAAAAGTGAACTTCCACAAATGGTGCTAGAAAATTTGACTTTCCATATAGGACAAATAAAATTAAAATCCTGTCTCACACAATCCATAAACAGATTAAATTTTTTCCAATTGAGAGATATGAATGGTATTGCGTCATTCTTTTAACACACATTTCCTTGATTAGTAACAAAGATAAACAACTTTTTATCCACTATCAGCCATTTAGGGCTTCCCTCCTGTGCACTTCCTGTCATCTGAAAGATGGCAGAGTAGGTCGGAAGCAGCAGGAACCCGTCTCCCCACATAGACAGTAATGGCACTGGCAGAATTGCCTGATGTGACCGTTTGGAACTCCGGAGTCTTTTGAAGGCTCGCAACTTCCAGCAGGAGGCTTCCGTGGTAAATTGGAGTGAATGTTGGTCAATCTCAGCTCTCGCACAGTAGCAGCTGCGCCCTGCGCCCCCCGCCCTTGGAGGGCAGCTCTGCGTGTGTTCCTAGGGCAGCTGGCACACAGCTCCAGGATTGGGGGGGGGGGGCGGCGGGGGCAAAAAGGACGCTGTCCTCCAGCTAGCAGGGCTGTGTTTCCCGGTTGCTGATGGCTGCTTCTGATCACAGGGGTGTACACAAAGAGGCACACAGCCATCGTTTCATCTCCTCCCATTGTTGCCATTCCGCCCCCTCCTCTGACTGATGTGATTTCCAGGTTTTTAAGGGCCAGTGCCCTTATCTGTCTCCCTGTTTCATTTTTCTCTTTTTCCCCTTTTGGAAGCCAGATACTACAGTCTAGGACGTTCAAAATGAACTTCCTACAAGGTCGGTCCAGAAAAAGTTCAGCCATTGTTGATATAACGAGAACAGTTTTTGTGGCATTGGGGTACCCTGGCAGCCAAGGCGAGCGGACTGGAATGCGCACGTGTGAACAGTGATGACTTCACTGTAGTCAGGGGCGCGGTAGATGCCGCTGAGTGGGCACGTGTACTGTATGGCCCTTGCATTCAAAATGAGTGAGTGAATAAAGCAATGAATCTGTATCAAATGTTGCGTTAAGCTTGAACATTCTTCCATAGAAACTGTTCGGATGATTCAGAGGGCGCAGCTCTGGGCAGCTGGTGATTGGCAGCTTCATCACAACAACACGCCCACTCATGCGTAACATCTGGTGCAGAGTGTTTTTGTGAAACATCAAATCACCCAGGTGACTCAGCCCCCGTACAGCCCAGATTTGGCTCCCTGGGACTTCTGGCTTTTCCCAAAACTAAAACCACCTTTGAAAGGGAAGAGATTTCAGATGGTTTGATGAGATTTGATGAGATTCAGGAAAATACGATAGGGCAGCTGATGGCGATTGGGAGAATGGTGTGAGGTCCCAAGGAGCCTACTTTGGAGAGGACTGAGGCATCATTGTCCTATGTACACTGTTTCTTGTATCTTCTTCAATATATGTCTTTATTTTTCATATTACATGGCTGGATACCTTCTAGGCAAACCTCATATACAAGGAAAATTAGAAAATATACATGCATGCCCAGGAAAAGGTACAGGCTCAGAAAAATACCTGAGAAGACCGTAAGTTTACATCTCAAGCAGATCTGCAGCAAGGACCAATAAACAAGACAATAACAAAAAACAGCAAACCTTGAGGAAGCGGGAGGTTCTGATTTCCAGAGTTAACACGTTATTAGACACAAATGTCCAATGTTCCACCAAAATAAGAAGACATATAAAGAAACAGAGAAGTATGACCCATTCAAAGGGAAATAATAAATAGAAAGAAACTATCCCTAAAAAAGATCCGAGAGTAGGTTTACTAGACAAAGACCTTAAAACACTGTCTTCAAGATGTTCAAAGAACTAAAGGAAGATGTGAAGAAGGTCAAGAAAATGATGTACGAACAAGGTAGAAATATCAATGAAGAGAGAGGAAAAAATCCTAAAAAACCAAAAAGAAATGCTGGAGCTGAAAATGCAAATAACTGAAATGAAAAATGCACTGCTGGGATTTGCAGGCAGATATGAGCAGATGGGAAGAAAGGATCAGCAAATCTGAAGAAAGGTCAATGGAAGTTATTGAGTCTTAGGAATAGAAAGAAAAAAGATTGAAGAAAAGCAAATAGAATCTAAGGGGCCTGAGGGGCACCATCAAGCGGACCTGCGTTTGCCCGGCAGACTCTCAGAAGGAGAAGTGAGAGGGCAAGAGGCAGGGAGAGTATTTGAAGAAAGAGCAGAAATCTTCCCAAATTTGATGAAATACAGGAGTATAAACATCAAAGAAGCCCACTGAACAGCAGGTCAGATGAGCTCAAAGAGACCCACCCTGAGACACTCTATCGCCAAACTTTGAAAGACAAGGGCAGAGAGAGCCTTGGAAGCAGCAGGAGAGACGCGAATCTTCAAGAAGAGCATCCGCAGGTTTCTCGCCAGAAACGTTACAGGCCAGAAGGTCAACGTGTTCAAAGTGCTGAAAGGGGAAAAACTCAACAGCCAAGAATCCTATATCCAGCGAAACTGTTCTTCAAAAGCGAGGGAGAAATGAAGACATTCTCAGACAAACAAAAGCGGGCGGGCAGGATGGAAGAAAGGCCGCTAGTCCGAGATAAAGATCTCTGTAAGGGGAAAATCACAGGCAGTTATAAAAGCCAGCATCACTGTGGCAATGATACCTGCGTGCAGTTCCACTCTTTGCTTTTCACATGATTAAAGGGACTAATACAGTAGAAAAATTATTAGTCTCCTATTATTATAACTTTCCTTTGTAACATCATGTTTGGTTTTTGATATTATTTAAGACATGAATGCATTTAAAAGAATTCATTTGTGTTTTTGGTCGCACGATGCATAAACATGTCATTGTGTGGCATCGACAAGGGACAGGGATGAGGATGGAGCTGGAAAGGAGCAGAGTCTGTTCATGTTACTGAAGTGAAAATGCCGTAAATTCAAATTAGAGTACACAGCTTCAGGGGAGCAGATGCAGCCCTCTTGGTAGCCGCGAAGAGAATAGCTGTAGGAAATAAGAAAGGAATTTAAATATTTCACTGTGAAATAATCAACTGAAGAGAAAAAGAGTATAACAATGCTGGAGATGAGGAACACAAACACTGTAAGGCAGAGAGGAACGAAAAACAAATGGCAGAAGTAAGTTCCTCCTTATTAGTAATTACGTCACACATAAATGAATTAGATGCTCCAATTGAAAGACAGAAAGAAATTGGTAGAATGGATAGAAACATAGGATCCAACTGCCTGTCATCTACAAGAGACACACTGTAGATCCAATGACACAGACAGAAGATATCCCATGCAGAGAGTACCCAAAGGGAGCAGGGGTGGCTATGCCATGTCAGACAAAATCAGAGCAGCAAGGTCACAAAAGATAAAAGAACATTCTATATTAATAAAAGGTCTGATACAGCAAGGAAATGCAAAAGTATAAATGTCTATTCACCTAGTAACGGCCTGTCAAGACATGTGAAGCAAAACGCTGACAGAGTCGAAGGGAGAAGTAGTTCTGCCGTAATAGTTGGAGATGTCAATTCTCCCCTCTTGGTGACAGACAAGACACCTGTCAGGAGGTAGGTGAGGAAACAGGCGCCTTAACACAATAAACTAATTAGATACTTGGGTGTGTGTTTTATGTTAATCCTTTAAGCTGTGTAGGTATCTTTCATACGTTCTGTTTCACATGTGCGAGGTCTGATAACGATCAATCAAGAGTAGATGAGCAGTGAGCAATTGGCGGCAGGGAGCCTGGAGTACCTGCCCAAGGGCTTTGATTGACAGGGAAGAAGAGACCTGAGCCTGCAGCTCCAGAAGGGACCCGTGTCAAGGGAGGGTGACTGTTCTTTTCTTGCTTTGGGAAACTGGAGCCTGTCCCTAGCCTGTGGGCCTGGACCAGCGGGGGCAGTGCTGCCGATAAAGCCGTGGGGGGAGCCGGGGAGGGCAGTCTTGGGACCTGAGTGGAGGGATCGACCTGGAACAGGATTTCGGGGGAGGGGGCAGGGTGCTGGGGGAGAGACGGCCTCTGTTGCCCCGCCAGGGCCAGTGGAGCCGCGGTCCTCAGAGGCCGCAGAGAGGGCTCGGGGGGCCGGGCCTCAGCGGTCAGGGTGGGCGGGGACCCCGCAAGGCGGGGCACACTGTAAGGCATCCACTTTCCATTTCCACTTTTTTGGGGAGGTGGTTGGAAATGACAGGTGGAAGAAGTGGCAGATGGAGGAAGGACGAACTGGCACATGGCCTCTACATCCCAGTAGATCCAAGAACCTGCCACCACGGAGCCCTGAGAGCCTCTGCTTCCATGGTCGTCCCCAAATGGCTGGTGACGGGCCATGCAGATTCCAGGGGTGGGGCTTGAGGAGAGCAGGCAGCTGCACCTCCCCCGGAACATCCCCCAGGGTGACGGCCAAAGATGGCATAAACAGACACCGTGTACCCAGCATGTCATTGCCCCCCGTCAGTGGGGGCCAGCGGCCCCGTCCGTCAGTGCCCAGTTCTGCAGCGAACGGGGAAGAGAGAAGGCTGGCGCGGGACTCCCTCCCCATCCGCCCGCCCTGAGCTTTCACTTCGCTCTGTCTGCTTTTGGCCACTAGGTACGTAAAGACCTATCTGCTGCCTGACAGGTCCTCCCAGGGCAAACGCAAGACTGGAGTCCAAAAGAACACGGTGGACCCAACCTTTCAGGAGACCTTGAAGGTACTTGCCGGACACACACTCCTGTGCTGAGCCTTCCTGCCCTGGGCGGGGCACATGGGGCCAGAGTCCAGCCGTGGCGCCTCCCGAGCGCCGAGTCGGGTGAACGCAAGTGCAGGCACTTCCCCGTGCCTGTGGGGCCCTGTCAGTCAGTGACGAGGCGCAGAAAATAAATCCCAGCCTTTGTACAAGGGAAGTGCAGAGTCTGCTGGACTTTCGAGTAATGATTTCCAAGTAAGTGGTAACAACAGCAACAACAGAAAGAACCTGGCTGCCTCTCAGTGTTCCAAATCCGTTTGTCCTGTTGAATTTTTATAACCCTCAGAGGGGTGTTCTCTGGCAGGGTACCCGGTAGATTAAGCTACTGGGTTACTTGCCTTTGTAAAAGTGCTTCTTTATTGTAGTATCTGGCCAACCCACGTTTCTTCCTAAGGAAAAAAAAAAGTCATTTTATGAAAAAACTTTTATGGAAGACTCGTTTGGGTTTGCACTTTCCTCGGTGCTAAGAAATACGGTCTGTGGCTGAGGGCAGAGGCACGGAGCAACCGCCGCTCCCCAGGATGCAGGGCAGCGTCAGAGATGATGCGTGGGGTGTGCAGAGCAAGCGTGGGAGGCCCCGAACGGGAAGAACAGTCCAGGCTCATGGGGGCGTCTTCAGTCAGGGCGGAGAGGCCAGGGGCCCCATGTGTCGAGACTGGAAAGGAGAGGGCTTTGTTCGCCTTCCTCGGTGAGAAGGGGCAGCTGGTACAAGAGTCCTGTCTGTTGAATAATAATAGCTGTTGCTTTCTTTGCCCCTATTGTGGCCGAGTGCTTTATGTACCCTCTGAGCTAGGGATCGGGATGCTCGTTAACAATGGGGAAACTGCGGCTCATCAAACCCACAGCGGAGAAGCAGCCCTTCTCAAAATTTATTTGCACAGGGATCCCCAAAGGATTTTTAAAAAGTGGCCTGTGGTTCAGCAGGTGTGGGTGGGGCCTGAGACGGGGTTGACCTGGGACCACTCCGGGAAGGTGGAGATGCTGAGCAATCACGAGGAGTTTTGCAGAAATCAGTATTTCGAATTACCGTTGTTGAGCCCGCTGGGCACTCACAGGACCTGGGGCAAGGCGCCGGGGCGGGGTTCTGGGTGCAGGAACCGCCTTCTGCGGGCTCTGAGAAACGGGCACGTGGCAGTTGAGGCTGCAGGACCAGAGCGGCTGGTCTAGTTTTCTAGGCAGAGTGCGTACCCCTCGGGACGCCTCCCAGCTGGGAGCGTGTCCCTGGGAGCCAGGCTGACGCCCCGTCCGCCCCTGCAGTACCAGGTGGAGCCCACCCAGCTGGCGACCCGGCGGTTGCAGGTGTCTGTGTGGCACCTGGGCACCCTCGCCCGGAGAGTGTTTCTTGGAGAAGTGATCATCCCTCTGGCCACGTGGGACTTCGAAGACAGTGCGACACAGTCCTTCCGCTGGCACCCGCTGCGGGCCAAGGTGATGTCCGGTCTGGGGCTGGGCGACCCCACTCCCACTCCACCCAGATGAGAAAAGCTGCCCCGGGGAACCTGGGACCCAAGAGGGTGGTGCGCACTGGCTGGGTTCTTATGGAGGCGCTTCTGGCGAGAAGAGGCCCCACGCCCAGCTCCCCAGGGGCTTGCCCAATGCCTCCCACTTCCTCAGGTGGTTCAAGTGTCCGTGCAGCCCCGTCCTTGGTGTAGCCCGGATGCCGGCACGGGTCAGGCTAGGTGCCCAGGCCCCCTGGGGTGGCCTTGCTGGCTCGTGACCTCCCCCCGAATTCAGGGTCACTCAGTGTCAGCTGAGATGGCACTGCAGCTGAAGCCCACGACCCGTGGCCAGTCAGCCTGGCCCACATGGGACCGTAGCCCACCGTGTGGGCTGTAGTGGGTCCCTTCTAACCTCCCCACCCCGGGCTCACCCGGAACAACAGGTGAGCGTGACCGGACCGGACATGGTCAGGCGGGCGCCGGGTCACCGCCTGGGAAGTGACCGCAGGCGGCGCCAGCCCCGCTGTTTCACCGCTTGTCCTCTCCAACTCCAGAGGGGCCATCGGTCACAGTGCCGCTGTGCAGAGGCTCGAGCCTTGGGCCACAGCCTGGGGGCCCCCCTGTCCTGGCCCCTGGCCTCTGGCCCCTGGCGCCAGCGCTTTCTCTTCTCGGGGCCTCGGTCCACGCTCAGAGCGGCCACTGGCTGTGCTTTCTCCGGCCCCGGTCACCTGACTTCGCTTAGGCCCCACCGTGCCCGTGGGGGCTCTCTGGGGGCTCCCTGCAGACGAGTCCTCCCTGTGGGGCCCTGTGCTGGGGCGCCTGGCCCCGCCTCCGCCCCCTGGGTCCCGCTCTCAGGAGAAGGGCTGCTGCCGGAACTGGTCATCTGTTGGCCAGCGGGTTAGAAGCAGAAAGGGCCAGGCTGCAGGCGTCCCTCTGGGTGTGGCCCCGGCGCCGGACCTGGGGTGTCTGCTCACGGGCCTGCCCTGTGGCCCGTAGTTGGCACGGGGTTGGCACGGGTTCCTGGAAGCAGAGGGTGGAGGCAGCCTATCACATTTGGCACCAAGGCCTCCCCACCCCGCTCCAGGGGCAGCCGGGAGGCCACGGAGAGTCGCGCGGGGGTGGGGGCGGCGGGGGCCGAGGCCGCAGCGGCCGCGGCCTCCAAGCTCCAGAGCCCAAGTGGGCGCCCTCTCCTGGCTGCTGGCAGCTCTCAGTGAAGGAGACCCTTCCCGATGGCCTGCCCGCCCCCCACGGCAAGAGGGTCGGCGGATGGCGGTCTTCGCTGCCCCGGGCCTGCCTTCACTCCCTTTCGGCACGGTCACTCGTGGCCAGGCAAGCGACCTGAGCAAGCAGGGGGGTGTCCTCTGCAGGGAGGTGGGGACAAGGAGGGGGCCACACTCCCCAGACTGGAGGGCCACCCCGGGCCTGGGCACGGAGCCCAGAACCTGCCAGCCTCTGGTACCTTTGGCGGCCCTGGCACGGGAGAGAAGCTCAGGGCTGCGCCGGCCTAGGTGGAACCTGCGGGCATCTTGATTTTCTTTACCTTTTCCAACTCGGGCTGCACCTAGGTGTTTTACAGCTGACGTGTGGGGACGCCCCGGGGCTTTTGAAGCCCTCTGCCTGCTGGGTCGTCTGTGTCTGGAGGGAGGGCGGCAAGGGCAGGAGAGCAGTCCCCGCGAAGGGAAGGGAGAGCAGCCCGCCCTGGGCATGTCCACGCCACCCCGGGGCCCTCTGAGGCTTTGCAGGGGCGAGGTGGAAGGCGGAGGGGACGTTTACAGCCAGAGCTGAGGCAACCAGAGGGCCCCAGAAGGTCCTGGAGCTGGGGACTCCAGCCTCTGAGCTCTGCCTCTCGCCCACAGGCAGAAAAGTACGAAGACAGCATTTCTCCGAACCCCGGGGAACTCACAGTCCGGGCCAAATTCGTGTTCCCTGCGGGGCCCGACAGGCTCCAGGCAGCCCAAGGAGGTAGGTGGCCTCCAGCCCCATGAATGTTCATCTGTCCCTGGGTCCCCGTTCCCGAAGCCTGGAGCTGCAGGCAGGCTGAGGGGCGGGCCACTGTTTCCTCCATTTCCTGTCTGCCACCCACGGGTCCTGCCAAGAGCCGCGGAGCCCGGCCTGGGGAGTGGGCTCCGGAACCCATGGCTCGGAGGGGATCAGTGACCCCGAATGGGCCAGGCCCGTGCTGCCTGCTCTCCAAGGTCCCCAGGACCCCAGCCCGGCCCTCCTTCCTCCCGAGGAGCTGGCTCAGGTGGTCTCCCTGGTGAACACAGTCCCGCTGTGGCCCTTCTCAGCTCTTTGGGGGACACGGGGCCTCAAGGCTCCGTGCGAACGTCTCCTGGCTCCTGCTCACGTGAGCAGCTGCTGCCCAGCAAGAGATCCGGCCAGCGACACGCCCTTGTTAACTAACTTCGGCAGCGTGGGGCGTGCGGGAAGGGGCGGTGGGGCGTGCAGACAGGGAGAACGTGCAATGCCCTTTCGTTTTTGTGGCTCCCTGTTGGGCTGGAAGAGCTTGCTGGGCCAGCAGGCCAGCAACGAGCACCCTTTGGTCATCTCCAGCCCCCTAGAACAAGAGTCTTGGGACCCCCGCTTCCCCCAAACCACTGGCTCCCCCTAGAGGAGGACTTCGGCATCCTTCCCCCCTCGCCTTGGATTGGCCTCGACTCCTTGCAGCTGGTTGCCCCGCATCCTGGCCAACCCTCCTGCCCTGGTCACGCTGACTGTTCGGTGGGACGAGTGTGGGAGCGGGGTGCACAGAGCCTCCGTGGCGGCCCTGCCTCACCACAGGCCGCTCTTGGGGTCTGGGGGCCGTCACTCATCTTCTTGCTATAAGTTTGCGGGGCGGGGGACGGTGCGCGTCCAGGAGGGCTGACTCACGTGCCGGCTTTGCTCCCCGGCGCAGGAGGGGAGCCACCGTGTACCGGTCAACTCTGTTTGGTGGTGCTGGGAGCCAAGAATTTACCTGTGCGCTCAGGTGGCACCCTGAACTCATTCGTTAAGGGGTAGGTATTAGATTTAATCAAATGCTATTTACTGGTCTCCTGTGACACATGTGGCATGGTCCTGGAAGCTGTAGAAAACACCGAAAAGTGTAGCCATTTTAAACTTGCACTTTAGCTGTCCTACAAAAATCCAGCATGTCATGTTGAAGACTGAGCTCCAAGAATCTGTGGGGTAGACTTGAACACCACATTTTCACCCGAAACCCGGATCTTATTCGTCCTGTTGTAGCAGCGAGGCAGCATTTACTGACTGAGCCGGAACGTGGAAAAAGTTGTGTTTATACAAAGAGGGACCCAAAAACCCTGGAATTTATTTATTAAAAATTGTTTCTCACCCGTTGAAACGCCAGGCACCTTCGAAGTACTGTCCATTGGATGCAATACCCCTATCGGGATTTTTTCCACGGCTCAAACCAGTTTTTGAACTCGATTTTGATGCCTAAAATGCTTCTGCCATTTTTTGTCTTACTCTTCCATATCGGCAAAACATTGCCCTCTGAGGACTTTTTTCATCCGGGGAAACAAAAAAAGTCACTCGGGGTGAGAGTGGGTGAACAGGGAGGGTGGGGCATGGGGTCGTGCCTTTTTTGGGTCAAAAACTGCTGAACGCTCAGTGTGGTGTGGGCAGGCGCACTGGTGAATCACCCATCATGAAATGGGTAAACTCGTTGAAAGTCTTCAAAAAAAATTCACTGAAGCCGAGCGCAGCCTCTCACAATGCCAGCTGGTGCACTTAGCAGGGAAGTCTGTCCTACAGAGGGCCCGCCCTCCAGAAGGTAATTCCAGGTTTTTTTGGGTCCCCATTCGCATTCCCTCAGCTTTACGGCTCTCTTAGACCAACAGTAAGGTGGGGGACACAGCAGACTCATGCTCGTTCTTCACCACGGGTGTGTTGTTTTCAAAAGTAAAGCAAACACCATCACGATGTAGAATTGCTAGATCCCAGTCCCTGCCGCCAGGAAAACACGGTGGCCCCCCAGTCGGCATAGGGCCGAGTTCGTCCTCACCTTGGCATTCACCTGTGTGGTTACCTGGCCAAGCTGAATTTAGTCTCCTGAGGATAAAATGAGACAGATAACAGGCGTGCAGCACCCAGGTCCCAGGGGGCAGGTCTAATACGTGTGCTGTCAGCTGGTGGTGGACGACCAAGGAGGGGGTTAAGGTGAGGCCCACGTGGCCTCAGAATCCCAAATCGCCCTCAGGCCTGGGGCAGATTTCAGCTCGAAACCGAGAACACCGAGCGAGGGATCACTTAGCCGCCAGTCCCGTGGCCCCCCTTCCCTTTCGCTGTGCTGAGTTTTTATTCTGTGGCCGATGCAGCCCCTTTCTTAGCACCGACAGTCTCACAGATCAGCAAGTCCCGGGGGCAGGGGCCTGCGTGGGGCCAGGTACCGAGGGTTTGCGCCTGTTCCTGCCGCAGCTGTCTCACTCTGCCGGACAAGCAACCGCTGAGGCTGAGGTCCCCCGTCCTGAAGAAGCAGGTGTGTCCCCAGTGGAAGCATTCCTTCGTTTTCGACGGGGTGACCCCCGCTCAGCTGAGGCAGTCCAGCCTGGAGCTGACCGTCTGGGACAAGGCCACCTTCGGTGTGAACGACCGCCTGCTCGGAGAGGCCAGGCTTGGCTCCGGTAAGTCTCTTGGAAGCGTTTATTGGGCTCAAGTGCATGGTTGGTCCTCTGAGACGGTCTTCTACAGATGCCGTGGGAGGAAAAGTCATGTTTCCACCATGGCAGGTGATTTAACTGGCTTCGAAGCTGCCTGACCTGCCCTAAATGGAGAACACTGTCTCGCTCTCACTATGCAGTGGGGTGATAATACAGCAAAGTATTTCAACAATTTAAATCAGATTTAGGATCTGCGAAAGAAACAAAACTTACAGGCCTCCAAATGGGCTGGGTACAGTGTTGGCTTTTGTTCCTGGCATCAATCATAAGAAGATTATTTCCTTAAAGGAAAATATCTTCTTAACCCACACAACTGGCAATTCAGAAAGTATTTTGTTCCGAGAGGGACAAAAGGGCGGTACTTCCGTGTTGCTCGGCAGGAGTTTTGTTTGGGGGGGGCGGGCGGGCCAGGGACTGAGCGCCCTGGGCCTCCTGCTGGCTGCTGGCAGGGCCCCCCTGGCACCGTGTTGACTGGCACACCTGCACGCACCTCCAAGGCCAGCTGGGGACCAAGGAGGAGAAACAGGGCTCACTATTAAATGACAATGTGTTTCAGAAGAGTGTCCAAAACAAACCCCCCTCTCTCTGAGGGACCACTTCTCCGGAGCAAATCTGGCCCCCAGTCCAGGATGCCCGCACTCGGGAAAGTGCTAAGAACCACCCACCCAGCCTGCCCACCCCTCACGGCCAACTAGCAGGGAAGCAAACAGCTTTCGAGGCCTCAGGTCCCTGCGGTTTTGTTGGGGGTGGGGAGGTCCTCTCCTACATGCCAGTGGTGGACGTTTTAATATGGTGTTAAGGTGAAAAGTTACTTTATACAGTTCTTGCTGGTTCTCCTTTTTAAAAGGCCGAGGGGAAAGGTGGTGGTCTCCAAGCCCGTCGTTCCTAACTTGTCGTTTCACGCCTGTTACAGAGGAAGACCCGGCCGGAGGCACTGGCCCAGGCGCACCCTCAAAGCTTCAGTGGCAGAAGGTTCTTTCCAGCCCCAACCTGTGGACAGACATGACCCTCATCCTGCACTGAGGACCGGGTGTCGGTGTGCAGCGGGCTCACACCCGTGCGCCCACGGCTCGGCGGATGAACTGGGGCTGTGCGGCTGGCCCCGGCCTTCTGGAGCACGGTCCCTCTCCGCCCACGGCCTTCGTGCAGCACAAGGTTCTTCCACGCTCCTCTGTGCACACTGATGTGAGAGCGATGATCGCTGTTACCCGAGGGATGTGTGGCCCGATTGCAAATAAATGTTGGTTACCTCTGTCTCCCAGTGCTCATTAGGGAAAATTACGGCCTTGTTACGTATGTTTCAAAGACTAAAAATTGGAGCCTATTGGGTATCTGGTCCCTCCCATTCTGCAGCACGACACTGCTTTTCTGGTGGACAGGTCAGCCAACCCCATGAGAGCTGGGGGACAAGAGGGATGGGGCAGACTCCTGTCGCGGGTGGGTCAGCTGTGCGGTCCACCCAGCCCACGAGGCGTCGCTGGCAGGACTGCACAGACCCAGCCAGCAGGCAGTCATGTTGTGCCTCGCCGTTCGTGTCTGCGGGGCAGGCTTCATCCGCACACAACGCCTTAACTGAAGACAGCAACGCGGAGCCCGCGGGAGCCGCCGCTTCAGGGCTCCCCACAGTTCCCGGGGCGGCGAGGGGGGGGGGGCGGGGGAGGGTGCCGGCGACCGCCAGGTCAGAATGTGCCTTCCCGGCTGGAGTTGGGATCAACAGCATGCGTGCACTTTTCAAGTGCTGATAGAAAACGGAACCACGCAGAGCCGCCTCCCTGCCCGAAGGCCCCGGGGTGGGGAGGAGAGCCGTTTCCCCAGATGTGGTTTCAGCAGCGCATCAGCGTCGCTGCTGCCCTCGCACTGTGTCAGATCAAGCGCCATGGCTGTGTGGTTTTTAATACGCACTTCTTTTATTATTCTGTAAAAGGTAACAAAATATACAGAACAAAACTTTCCCTTTTTAAAACTAATGTTACAAACCCATATTGTTGCTTATATATAAATACTATACTCTAAAGCTGATCCTTAATTAGGTGTGTAAGTCCAACAGTGTCGCCTTCTGACTGTTAAAAAACCAGAAAAGTTGATCCCAGAGTGGCGTGTCCTCCTGGGTGGTTCATCCCGAACGACCCCAGGGTCTCGTCGCGAGGGAGGGAACCCGTGTGTGCACGTGTGTGTGTGAGCGCAACTGCCTGTTTTCACCCCTCGGGAAACATAAATATACAAAGAAGCATCCTTCATAGAATCAAGTACAAATCAATCAGAGCTAATTTCAAATACAGAAGAAAGTATGGCACAGAACAGAAGCCACAATGCGGTTTTCTTTAATTATGCGGAATCTCGCTTCGCACATGCCAGCATGGAGTTTGTTACTCAGACTTCACAGGCATCTCTCCTTAATTCCATCAGCCCTGCTCCAAGCCCAAGACAGGAAGTGATTCAATAATAATAATAACAATAATAATAATAATAAAAATCAGGCCTGTTTGGCACTATGATACAAATGGGAAAAAATAAACCAGGGAAGCTCCCACTGGTCCCAGCCCCAGAATTTTCCCACTGAAATAGCTACTCTCTCTCGAAAGGCGCAGGAGGACGAGGAGGGGTCTAGACAGAGAACTACAAACACACGCGTCAGAGTCTGCGCGGGACCCTCAGAGGCGCCCGGCCGGCCGGCCTGGCCCTCACATGGCCTCGAACTCGTCAATGCGCTGCTTGGTGTTGCCCTGCCGGATCTGCCGCAGCGTCTTATACTTGTCCCGGCCTTGCCTCATGTTCTCGTTGTGGATGATGTCGTTGTGGGTCCTCTTGCTGTCGTCTCTGGCCTGGGACAGCTCACTGGACAGGGTCTGCAGTGGCAAGAAGCAGGGGTCAGGCCGCACTCGCCCCACTCCGCCCCGCCCTGGAGAAGCGGGCGCTGCTGGCAGGCTCATTCCGCTGCCCTGCCCAAAGCTGCCTGCTCCGGGGGGAGCCGGGGGAGCCCCGGGGAGCCAAGGGGGGTCCCCGCCCCCCGGCCCTCACCATCAGCTGCCGCTGCACGCGCTCGTTCTTCTCGGCCTCGGTGATCCGCTTCTCCTCATTGCGGTCGTCCAGGATGCCCTCGCTGGACAGCTCGGCGCTGTAGCCGCTGTGCTCTGTACCCTCCTCCTGCAGGTTCTCCTGGACGTGGTAGCCCACGGGCTCATACACAGGGGGCGGTGGGGGTGGGGGTGCGGTCATCACCAGGTGCAGCTCCTCCTTGGTCTTCACCAGGTCATCCTGGGCTTCCTTGGCCTTTGAAAGCAAGTTGACAGACAGGTGAGAACCTCCCGCACAGAGCCCTGCCTTTGGACCACTTCCCTCAAATGACCGTTTCTTGACGAAGGAGGCCCCCCTCCTTGCCCGCGAGGGTCTGCCCCCTCTTGCCCCCGCCTTCTCCCTTTCTGCCAGCAGGCTGCACGCAGCACGGGCCGGAGGCGGCAGACTCTGGCGGGTGGATCGCGAGTGTCCCTGGTAGGGCCCGGGGCTCCCGGTCCCCCGAGCAGCGACCAGTTGTGTCCCCAGCACGGAGAAGCTGGCGCCAGGGGCTTGATGCTTCTCGAAGGATTGCAACTTTTTTTTCCTGTCTATAATCCTAGTGATGCTCACTGCACATGTTTTTGAAAAGAAAATTATTAAAGAAAAAAACCTCTGGCTACTGCGAAGAGCCACTGTGGAGTCTTGGTGTGCGGCTCTGCCCGTTTCCTCGCACGGCTGCTGTGCGTCCAGCTCCCTGCTGCCCGCCAGCGCCGTGTTCAGGGCGCTTCTGCCCGTCTCCCTAATCCGTCCAGCCATTTCTCAGGGTGCTCAGCCGAGTCCCACCCACTTTGTGGCTGCCCTGACTGCACAGGCGAGCTTAGTGTGTACCTGTTTTGTAACCAACTTTTCTCACGTAATACTTTATAATCAGCACTTTCTCCAAAAACCTAAGGACTGAAGTCTTCTGTGCAAAACTTGGGCTGGGGGACAGGGTGGGGTGAAGCCCAGTGGGGGAGGCACCAGGCGTCCCCGAGGGGGTTGCCGCCGATGGGGAAGCATGCACAAGGGCAGCGGGGAGGGGTGTGGAGCCCGCCAACGCGGGGCCGAGGCGTGTGCTCTGAACCACACCCAGGGGCCCCGCGGCCTGGGCTTTCCTGGAGGGTGCGGGCTCACGGCGGGAGAGGGGCCCTCGGAGGCGGCGGGGAACCGTCCTCACCAGGGAGGCTGCGGCCCACCCCGCTGCACAGCAGGGCCTTGGAGCTGCCTTACGGGTGGGCACTGACCCCATCCTCAACAAGGAACTGAGGTCCAGACTGGCGGGCCGCCCGCCCTAGTCACACAGCGAACAAGGGGCAGAACCTAGACTCGCCCCCCAAGAGGGAGACCTCCCGGGTCTGGGTCACTCCCGCCCTGGCGCCAGGCCGCATGTCCCAGCAGCCGGTGGCGGTGGCGGGGTGGGGTGTGCCGGGGAGGGCCCGTTTCAGGCCCCCGGGGTCACTGCCGGGGACCCCCACCTAACCCGGTTCAACACTGGTCCCTGGTCGGGGCTGCTGGTGGGGCTCAACGGTTCGGGGTGGCCCGAGCAGAGCGGGCGGAAGTGAACAGCGGTCCTTTGTCCCCCGTTAATATGCTCATACCACACCGCCCTCGCGGGTGCACAGGGGTGAGCCACCCCGTGGGGATTTCTGTCTAAGGGGGACCGCTGGCACCGGCAGTGTCGCCACAGGCCCCGAAGGCACTCACCCGGTGCTGCCACTCTTCCACCTCGTCCTCCTTGCGCCTGCGCGCCTCCTCCAGGAGGGCGATCTTGGCGGTGTACTCGGCGAGCTCTGTGGCCTGCGGGGGGCGATGCGACAACGGTCCAGCGAGCGTTTGTGACTGCATGGCCATGCCCCTCCCCCCCCACCGCACCCCTCACCTGCCTGAGGCCACGCCCCCACTGCCCCGCCAGGGCCACCCAGGCCCCCCGCCCCCGCAGGGCCCCTCCCGCCAGCTACTTGACACGGGCAAGCAGATCACTTTACAGCCCAGACAGAAATCATGGTCAGGCAGGTGTCACTTTTTCGGTCCCCAGGGGCAGCCTCTCCATAATTCAGCACCGCGAAACCCGGGGGACCCCTCACCAGCTGCTCCTGGCTCTTTATCTGATCCGCCGCCTGCCTCTCCAGCTCCTCCTTGGCACGCAGCGCGGCCAGGCGGTCGGCCTCCAGGCGCTCGGCCTCCTCCTGCGCGCGCTTCCGCTCCTCCTCCAGCTGCAGGGCCCTCTGAATCTGGTCCTGGAGCTCTGCGGGCGCAGCACCAGGGCACTCACACCGGCCCCCGCCCCGCAGTCCTGCCCCAACGCCCAGGGGCACCGCGGGCCTGGCTCAGGGCGAGGGGCCTCTCGCGTCCCTGCCCGCTGTGCGCGCGGCGCGCGCTCACCGTGCCCTGCCCTCTCCTGCCGTCAGGCGCCCGCTCCCTAGCCCTGCGACCTCGGGCAACCTACTCCACCTGCGAAAGCCTAACACCCTCTTCAGGAAAACGGGACAACTCAGTAGTCACCACCTGGGGCCCAGGGAAAATTATAAAAGATAATGCCCACAGAGCATTTAGCGCAAGTGGTGATGACGTGTGAAACCATTTCCCAGTCCCAATAACCATCTCATGCTGTCTCTCTACGAGTCTCTGTTCTGGGAACTACAGTGGGTGGACGTTCTTCCAGGCTGTGTGTGTGCTGTCTGTCTGTCCGGACACACGGCTGCCACGGGAGAGCGTGGGCCCACCTTTCTCGGCCTTCTTGGTCTTCTGCTCGTAGTCCTGGAGCCTGAGCATCAGCTCCTCCTTCTCCCGCATCATCTGCTCTTTCTCTCTCTCCACGGTCTCTCTCCTCTTCTTCTCGTTTTCCAGCTGCTGCCTGTTACAGGGAGGGCCCAGGGAGGCTTAGCCTAGGGGGAGGCATGTGCTGTGGACGCACCGCAACACGCAGCCATCCCGGCCACACGCCCGGCTGCTGTCGGCCTGAAGCCAGCCCGTCACCACCCCAGCCGTCG